ATATATATAACATTTCTGTCCCCCTCACTTCTGAAATGATGGCTTCGCCCCTGGGCTAAAGTCAGATGTAGTTCTTGTGTTTCTCTTTTCTTCAATGATGTTGATTGTTAACAGCAGGTGTTCATTACTAATACCCAATCATCATTTAATTAGTTACTTAATTATCTCTTTAACTTTAACTCTTTGAGGACTTGGGATATGACTTGAAGACTTGCTTGTGACTAGAAAGTCCCACCTCTGCATACTGGATCCGGGTGACTGCAGTGACCATCTGATCTGGATACAGACTGGATCTGGTGGCTACGGTGACCTCGGAATAAGAAAGAAACAGACTAATATTAGCATAGATGCCATTCTTCTAAATATGTAGCAAGTACATCGGGTGTTATGAGAAGTGTTCCAGTTGTCCTAATTAATGCAGCCTAAAAATCCTTTAAAGGATTTGAATATTAGAAATGTGTTAGTGTGTTATGTGTAAGCCAGGTTAAAGAGATGGGTCTTTAATCTAGATTTAAACTGACAGAGTGTGTCTGCCTCCCGAACAATGTTAGGTAGGTTATTCCAGAGTTTGGGCGCTAAATAGGAAAAGGATCTGCCGCCCGCAGTTGATTTTGATATTCTAGGTATTATCAAATTGACACATATACTTAGGAGCCTTGGATTGGATCATTATTGCGGAAATTAATATGTTTCTTGCCTGTTGTATGTTTGGCAACAATTCTTTGATCCCTAACTGATGCAGTGTGTAGCTTTTTCAGCCATCATTCAAGGATGATAAAGTTAAGATTTATTGGGTTCCAACTGTGAAACAGTGGTTCAGTGAGCATGAAGAATCTTTTTCTTTTATGAATTGGACACCACAGAGTCTCTCCTCTTCTATTGCCAATAAAAGATCTTGGCCAAAGATTAATGCAACTCTTGATGGAAATAAATGCTGTGGCATTGCATAATGCTGTTTAATAAAGCATAATAAAACAATGCCACAATGAATGCATTATAATGTATAATAATGTGTAATAATGATTTAATCCTAAAATCTTAAAGCTGTAGTCCTCTTTCTCTGTTTGAAACCTGCAATTGCAGTTATTTGCGGAATTATCTACTTTGCGTGGGTTGTGCATGGCTCCAGCGCAGATGAATCTAATGTTTTGAGGAGTATGTGTGGCTGTCAGTCACCGCACCAGTGTGGATACTGTACTTCAGAATCACAGATTCTAGCCTATTGCTTGGAATATATGACCCAAATAAGAATTTTCACCGGATATTGTCATCTGAACAAGTTAGTAACAAGTCTGCCACTTTTGTTCTGACCAACTGAGGAAAAAGCATTACAATAAATCGCAATACAAATGTTGATTAAATCTAACGATCGGTTAGCACATATCACATCAAACCGTGCAAATTATTATTGTTATAATATTATTAGTGTATGTATTAGCATATAGATTTAAATTTGTGTACAGTCTAATCTCTAATTGTCATACCATTTGAATTTCATATTAAAAAAAATGTAACCCAAAAAGCAAATTTTCCTTCGAACTGGTTCTATTTAAAATACAAATCTTGTGTAATGCCACGTAGGCAGATGTAATCAGATGCACATTTAAAACTGGAATATAATCTAATTTCAATCACATGTGTTTCATAAACACCTGCAGGATCCTCACATGCGATATAGCCAACTAGCTGGGACAACTTCTTTATCAGGACAACAGATGTGACATAATGACGTGGCGGCATGCTCAAAATTCCTACCAGTACCACTCAGATTAGAAAACATAATTATAGGCTTACTGTAGTGAATTGGGTAAGGATGTAGTTTTGAATACTGGCTAGTTATGTACTTGCTCAAAAATTGATTTCAGATCATTTTTAACCAAAAAAAAAAAAAAAAGGTACGGACTGCAACTTTTAGTTTTTTTCTTATTTAAATCTAAATAGTGACTTTTTTGTATTTAACACAACTTCAGTCTCATTTATTACAAATCACTTTACTGTTTATTTATAGGGGGAAAAAAAATAAAAAAAATTAACCCAGTAATATCAGTGATAGGAATTTTCCCAAATAATCTAAAATTATTTTCTATTCCTCTCAGAATCCCCTGGACAGGACTTTGTGACACTGGACTATCGACTACGCTATTACCCAAGTATCACATATGCAGTTATTGGCAGTGCCATCATCTTTGTCCTGGTAGTGGCATTGCTGGCCCTTGTCCTGCACCATCAGAGAAAGCGAAGTGTCTTGCTGTCACAGGGGGTCTACAGAGGTTCCTGCCACCAACCACTCCTGCTCTCCCGGCTTGTCATACTGGACAGAGGACATGCCCATCCTGGAAGCCATGACCTTTCACCACAGTGTTCATCCTCAACAGAGGCATTCAGCTCAGTCCATAGTCTCCAGTTGCTCTCTCTTTCACAATATCCAAGAACTGCGATAGACTTGCCACCATCATACTCACAGGCTGTACTGGATGCTGGGTATGCTTACAAATACAAATGCTAAGAATAGTGGTTGACCAACGTGAATTTTTTTTTTTTTGGATGGCTGATGCCAATATCTTAGAGAGTAAGGTGACCAATGGCTAATAAAAAGCTGAAATATAGGATATCATTATTTAATTTAAAGGTAGTAAATAACACATGCTGTAGAGATCTCAAACGTCACCCGAATCCGCTGCTTCCGCCTGCCACCCATCCGCACCTATATTTTTCTCTGATTTAGATATCCCGCCCCAACCCGCACCTGATCGTCACATTACATTGAATCTAATTCTTAAGTTTTGCATGATGATATGATGAATGGATGGTTAATTTTTAACAGCAGATTCAGTGATGTGAGAGCTGATCTGCTCATCACTGCACACATCTGTGATGCATTCCGGCTCCGACATGGCCACCAGAGCTGATCGCGGCCACTCTAGTCAATGCTTGTGTTTATACCAGCAGCGCTGTTGCATGTTTATGAAGCATCCCAAAATCTTGTGGTCTCGCAAATCCAGTTGCTTCGCTCCTAGTGTGAGTTGGAGGACGGAGCCGTAAGGGGTAACAGTAACATAATACGCTGACAATAGGCTGCTAAAAGTTTTTCTTTAGCCAGATTAGCCTACAATTTCTTAATAGCAAACACAGGCTTTACTCCCTTCAAACTTTATCTGGAATGTCACTGTTACTGTTACTGTAACTTGCTTGTTCCTTGCTCGCCAAGAATGCCTCTTGGATACCCGTCCAATGTTGCTCGATGTCCGTCAGATCGGCAAGGGCCTCGAAACGATTTCGTAGATCGATCTGAAACTGGATGACCGTGTTCAGATCTTTGATTTTTACAACGTCGAATGGACGTGGCTGATGAAAAAATAAATATTAAATTCTCATAATATAAAGGCAAACACTATAATACTTTTCATTTACAGTTTACTTTGTTTAACAACTGTTAAAAAAAGAAAGTCGGAGTCTGTAGTCTCTGTGCTGACAGACAGACAGACAGACAAATAGAAAGATAGATAGATAGATAGATAGATAGATGTAAACATTTGTAAAAATACTTTTTTTTTTTTTTCAAAATGTGTTAAGGTCTCAGCCCTCTGCTTTCACCAGATAATGAATAGTTTGCTTTGTTCTTCAACCATTATCATATATCTAATGTTTGAAGATTTCCTTTTTTTTTCTTTCTTTTTTTTACAGCCGACCCGCATGGTTTGATCTCCCACCTCCTCCTTACCCTCCAGAGACTACTACAGTTCAGTCTGAGAGAGAACCACCTGTATATGAGGACCCAGCTGAAATTACAGAATCAGCCAGAGCTGTATTATCTCAAATCAGGACCAACAACACCAACACTGACACCAGTTGTGCAGAGTAAAGAGTCTTGGCAGCCACCACTGTGAATTCAGAAGATTTGGACTGTATGTACATTGATGAAGTAGATGTTTGCAGATTCACCAAGTATGTGTAGGAGCATGTTAGTGCCATCATCGGGTGGCCAAATAACTGTATTACTTTTATCATAATCAATGCCATTAGCAGCCAAAAAAGCACTATACAGATGGTGCTAATCCAGAATTAGCTTTTTACTATTGTTGCAAATGTACAATTGATACTATTGACTGCAGTAATGCTATGAGCATAGACTTTACCTACACAGTAAAATCCTGAGTGTTAAATTAACTGCTCAGAGCATATATGGTCCCATTCTACAAGAGTGTTAAAGTAACACTAAAGCAGTGTTAAAGTTAATGAGATAATTATGTGATTAATTAAGTGCTGATTGAACATTAGCGATGAACAGCTGATGATAACAAGCAGAATCACTGAAGAAAAGAGAAACACAAGAACTACAACTGACTTAATGCTGCATTCACGTGCTATCAGAGTTATTGTAAATACGAGTTTGAAAAAAAAAGCTCGTATTTAGGATAATTCTGATAGCATGTGAATGCAGCATTAGTGTTTCCTAGTTGGAAACACTAGCCTTAAATGAAGCCTTAGCCTTCCTAGCCTTAAATGAAAACAACTGAAATAAAAGAAAACATTAAATTTCTCAAGATCTCAGCAGAAGATGATTAATCATCTCCACAAACATCATCACCAGCTTCACACATTACTAACCAGTTTGACTTTTTTTGTCATGCGTCTAAAAATTTCTTATTAAGAATTAACAGAGGTTTAGACATTAATATTTATTGAAAATAATCAAAATTGAAGTCACTGTTGTGGAGATAAGTGTTGGGCTTTAGTTGGGCTCTTGACCCTTGACTTTTTAACATCAGTTCTTCTCTGGTTGATGTAACTGTGTTTACGAAACAAATACATTATGGCAGACAAAACAAAGAGCAAATGTGATCAGATTTTTGATGATGAAGTTGTCATGTATAGCCTACTTCACTAGCATCATCAGTTGTGACATGTAATTTAGTTTAAATTATTGACCACAACTGCATTTCAAAGAAACAATATGAAAAACCTTAAAAACACTTTACACAGTGTTTAGACACGCAGACATCAAGAATCAGCATATGAATCTCAACAATGGTGACGATCATCAGACAGATTCATGTTGCAGTGCATTCTGGGTGCACCAGTCATAACTCATCCATGGCTCCCAGCATGCATTGCCAAATGAATAAATTATGCAGCTGCATTATCTTAGTATTTTCTTTTATTCTTACTCTTTGCTTTGATTTTTGTTGTGACTTTTTGCTGCCTTGTTTCATGGCGTTCAAAAATCATATTAAAATTATCAGAATATTTTGTCACCATTGCTGAGATTCACATGCTGATTCTTCATGTCTATGAGTGTCAGAGTTAAAACCTCTTTATAAGCAATATTTCTAAATTGTCATCATATCATAGAACTGCAATAATATAGAAATCATAGAAGCACTACAGATTTAAATAAAATGCAATCAGAGACTCAGATGCATGAGATGATTTTGTTATAAGTTCCTTGCCATCACATTTGTGCTTTATACACAGTAAAATCCTGAGTGTTAAAATAACACTGCTTGGAGCATATATGGTCCCACTCTAAAAGTGTGTTAAAGTAACATTGAAGCAATGTTAAAGTTAATGAAATCATTATGTGATTAATTAAGTACTGATTGCGCATTAGTGATGAACAGCTGCTGTTAACAAGCAGGATCACTGAAGAGAAAAAAAAACAAGAACTACACTGTAAAAACCCAAGAAGTTAGAGTAACTCAAACCATTTGAGGAAACCGATTACCTTAAACCAATTAAGTTTTAAAACTAATAGTTATGAGTACACTGAACTTATTTCAGCTGAGTTCACTAGAAGATATACATTGCAGTTAAGTAATTAAGTGATAATTGTGCATTAGCGCCATGAACACCTGCTGTTAACAAACAGAATCACTGAAGGAAAGAGAAACACAACAACTACAACTGATTTTAATCACAGCCTAAATCAACTGAAATAAAAGACATTAAAAATCTCTCAAGATCTCAGCAGAAGATAATTAAACAACTCCACAAACAACGTCACCAGCTTCATGCATCACTAACCAGTTAGACTTTAGTCCTGGAGTATCTAAAACAGAAGTTCTTTATTGAGAATTAAGGTTTAGATGTCTTTTTTTCTTTTCAATTTACCATTTTGGTGAATAGTGTTTGCTTTATTTGCCTCTTGACTTTTTAAAGGTAAGTTTCTCTTTGGCTGTTACAATAATGTTTATGAAACACATATGTGATGGCAAAGAGCTTGTGATAAAATCAATTCATGTCTCTGATTGTGTTATATGTAAATCTGTAGGGCTTTCATGATTTCTATATTAATGCAGTTCTATGAAATGATAATGTGAGAAAACTTTATAAACCACTTTTAGAAATATGGTTTACAAAGAGGTTTCAATTCTGGCACTCATAGACATGAAGAATCAGCATGTGAATCTCAGCAATGGCGACAAAACATTCTGATAATTTTGATATGATTTTTGAACGTCACAAAACAAGGCAGTAAAAAGTCACAACAACAAAAAATCAAATAGTAAGAATAAAAGAAAATACTAGGACAATGCATAATTTATTCATGTCGCAATGCATGCTGGGAGCCATGGATGAGTTATGATTGGTGCACCCAGAATTTAATTCAAGTTTATTTGTATAGCGCATTTTACAATACAAATCGTTGCAAAGCTATGGAATGCCAATCCTGCCATAATTAGAAATAAATAAAGAAATGTACAAAGAAATGTAAAAAAGCAAATATAAATAAACATAAATATAAAAACAAAAAAGTAAAAAAGCAAAAATAATTATTTATCATTTTATTTCCTTATGTATTTTTTTTTTCCACATTTATTTTTTTTTCTTTTATTTATTTATACATTTATTTATTTTCACATTTATTTATGTATTTATTTATTTATTTCCACATGTATTTATTTCTACATTTATTTATTTTTACATTTATTTATTTTCACATTTATTTATTTCTACATTTCTTTGTCCGAAGGGTAATGAGAAGGGCGTGTTTTATCTCAGGATGTAAGATGGCAAGTGTAAATAAATGTCCCCTGCTCTCCCTCCACTCACCATCATGAACAGCACTGTAATGACAGTGGAGACATTCAGGTTCCTGGGCACCACTTATCTCTCAGGACCTGAAGTGGGACAATCACATTGAGTCCATTGTCAATAAATAAATGTCCACAAACATTGCTTCCTGACAGACAGGCAGCAGCTAGTGAGGCTGGGAAAATGGCAAGTAAGATGGCACCGCACACGGTGCTTGGCTCTCCAGTGTTTGTACTGTTTTTGTTCGTTTTTCCTGTTTTTTGTTTCTCAAACACGATCAGTTTTACCAGGGATGAACTGCTGAACATTCGGCAGAACACACCACAAAATCTTCTACCGGATTTCAATTATTCAGACGTTTTGCTGAACGTTGTAGTTGGCGGAGCACCGGCGCTGATTAAGTGTTTCATGACGCGCAGACGGGGGAAGAGAGCCGGCGTGCTCATGAAGCTCAGGCAGCGCGGATTTCGAACGGCGTTGCCTAGCATCCATCTGGAGAATCTTCGCTCTCTACCCAACAAAACGGACGAACTTCTGCTCTCCAGGACAAACAAGGATTTTTCAAACTCTGCTGCTCTGTTTCACGGAAACCTGGCTGAATGACGCCATTCCAGACAGCGTGCTACATCTGCCCGGCTTTCAGCTGTTTAGAGCAGACCGCGATGCAGAATCAACAGGGAAATCGCGCGGCAGCGGGACATGTTTTTACATTAACGAAAGGTGGTGTACAGATGTTACAGCGTTAAAGAAGATGTGTTGTCCCGATCTAGAAGCGCTCTTCGTTAACTGCAAGCCGTTCTATTCGCCGCGGGAGTTTTGTTCGTTCATTCTCGTGAATGTTTACATTCCTCCGCAAATGCACATGAGCTCAGCTTTACAGAAACTCGCTGATCAGATCACAGACACAGAACAATAACACCCAGACTCTGTTATAATCATTCTTGGGGACTTTAATAAAGCAAATCTTTCCCGTGAACTGCCAAAATACAGACAGCATGTTACATGTCCCACCAGAGACAGTAATATACTGGATCACTGTTACACCAAAATAAAGGATGCATATCGCTCCGTCCCACGGGCAGCTTTGGGGCTCTCTGATCACTGTTTAGTTCATCTTATACCGACCTACAGGCAGAAACTGAAATCAGCTAAACCTGTATTAAGGACTGTAAAAAGATGGACTAATGAAGCATCCTGTTTGTGGACTTCAACTCTGCGTTTAACACTATCATCCCAAACCTCCTCCTGCCCAAATTAACTCAGCTCTCCGTGGCCACCTCCGTCTGTCAGTGGATCACCAACTTCCTGACAGACAGGCAGCAGCTAGTGAGGCTGGGAAAATTCTCATCCAGCACCCCTACGATTAGCACTGGCGCCCCCCAGGGTTGCGTCCTCTCTTCACTGCTCTTCTCTCTCTACACAAAGGACTGCAGATCTAATGACTCTTCTGTCAAGCTTCTGAAGTTTGCAGATGACACCAAACTCATCGGCCTCATTCAGGACAGTGACGAGTCTGCTTACAGACAGGAAGTTAAAGAGCTGGTTGTCTGGTGCAGTCTTATCAACCTGGAGCTTAACACGCTCAAAACTGTGGAGCGTTCTCTGCACTTCTATAACTGTCTAGTTCAGCTCAGCTACCAAATCTGACCTCAGAAGACTACAGAGAATAGTCCGGACTGCTGAGCGAATCACTGGTACAACCCTCCCTTCTCTCCAAGAACTGTACTCATCCAGAGTGAGCAAAGGGGCTAACAAAATCACTCTGGACCCCTCACATCCAGCACACTCCCTCTTTGAACTGTTGCCATCTGATCGACGCTACAGGGCACTGAGCACCAGAACGACCAGACACAGGAACAGTTTCTTCCCTCAGGCAATCCATCTCATGAACACTTAACAATAATCGTGGAACACACAACACTACTATACATTATTTCTTTAACACACATACTTATTTAAATTTCAAATTTGCACATATCATACCTCTGCATACAAAATTGTCTATATTATATATTGTGTTTTTGCTTTTTTGTACATTGTCTATTTTTATATTATTCTTTTTATTATCTGTGTCCTGTCTTGTCAGTGTCATTCTGTTGCACTGTGGAGCTTCTGTCACT